CCTCTGGTTAGTGCTGATGTGAACTGACACGACTGCAATCCCATGTCAATCGATCTTGAATCAAAGTAGAACAGAGTACTGTTTTTCGCTTATCATCGTTGCTAAATTAACATATTAACTCACAACCAGAGCTTTTTCACCAAATGTTACGTTTCTTCTTGGTTCCTACAGAAAGTGATGCAGCACTTTTCAAGCAGCAAATTGTCGACGCACATGCTGAAAAATCGCCGGCATGCTTCAACTACTTGTTCCTTTTCAGTAGGCTAATTTTCATGTAGATATCTTTCTGGCAGAATAGCAAACGAGTGCACGAGTGTGCGACTGACTGCAAGAACTATGCTTCTGAACTAGCGAACGTAAAGATCCACAAAACAAGGCTGAAAATCTTGTCAACACGTTTTGTGCACAATTCTACGGGACTGAAGGTCAAAAGATGTGTCTCCCGTCCGTTTTTTGCACGAACTCGTTTACCCGTAATACTCATTCAGCATCTCCCAAATTTATTGACCAGTGTTCTTCATCCCGAACAAAAAACATGTGGGCGAAATTCCGGGAGCATTATAAAAAACAGTGTTGTCAAGATCCACATGGCCATTATTGACTATCGGGGCATTGAGCACCAGCTAACGTACCAATGACCTCTAAACTGCTGCGGGTGATCAGTAACCCGTAATTAGTATACCAGCATCGTAAATAATAGCTGCGCAGTCATGATCTCATTCCAGGTGCAATTAACTTGGAAATCCGATGCGACCAACTGCCTTCGTGTGTAAGGGAATCAATGTAGACCATGAGTGCGGCACCCAGTGATTAACATGAGTTTTTTGTGCAGATAAAATTCGAATCAAACAAGCCAGATGAACTGAAAGTTGGAACGGTACGAGCGTCGCTTTTGCGTCATTTTTCAGAACGGAGTTTTCTTTTTAGAGATACGGTTGTATGGATGAATAACCCTCACATTCTACAGAAAAAAACAGTACGAAATTTGCTCAGTGTGGATCATTTTGCATTTTTCTTTTGGGGGTTTCTACTTGCCTCAGACTAGGATAAATTTAAATGTGTAGACTGCGCGTTGAAGAAAAGAGTACACTGAAAGAAGTGGCATTCGGGCAGAATTCCTTGTAGCATTGAAACTGTAGCTATCTAACTGAAAGGCATCAAACGGGACGTGAACCTTCCCTCAACGTGTCCTTACCTTAGGGACTTAAGGTAGGTGCCCTTTTGGTGCCTATTTAGAGGGGACCCTGGTGAGGAACTACCGCACACTGTGAAGTATGGGTTCAGAATGAATATCGTCAAAATTGTTCTTATAAATGACATGATGGAGCTTTAACAATAAAGTAGCTATAGTGTTCCATGCTTGGGAAAGGCCCATAAAAGCTGTATCCGCTGAATTACATATTGCATCTTAATGCTCAAATGCTAACGAGCATTTGACTACAAGTTTGCTGACTGGCTTTTCGATCCCACCTAAATGACGCGGTGACGAGTCTGGAGCCGGAAATCTTTGTTGATAAAAATAATACATGACGGCGAAACATAAGGGACAAAACGGATGACACCAGCACGTTCGTTTGAAAGAACTAAGGTTGTTTTGATAAAGGAAACTACTCACAAGGTTGCTGAAAACTCGGAGACTGGGCCTACCTGATGAGCCCCAAGAAGGGCGAAACCGGTCGTGGGCTGTCGAAGAGTTTTCAGCAACCTTGTGAGTAGTTTCCTATATGTAGATATACTGCAATATTTCGAATATTGTTCCAACTGAAACATGAGGCAGCCTGTGTGCAGCACATTCATTTGTAGAGTATCATAAAAACGAGGGATTCGGTTGAGTCTCTCGTGAAAACCAAACTGATTTGCAGCTGAGTGTATCTCTCGAAAAACTAAGGTTGTTCTTCGGCCATCTGGTGGACATCAACACGTCTGTGCATATCTGCGCACGTATTTCATTCTCTTTATCATCGTGAGCTCGCAAGAAGCGATGATTTTTGTGGGCATCGCTCATCATTCGAGCACACAGTCCAAGTGGTCAAGTCTGTGAGTTGCTAACGCTGTCTAGCCGTCAGCAAGATCGAACCGCCAAGCTGCATACGTCGTATTTTACATTCGGCTACAATGTGCTTTTGACGAGACATTACTGGTTGCGTTGTGTTGAAACTAGTTAGTGTTTGATCAAGCTTCTGAAATGTTGACAACACAGTGATAATTGAACACCATCCGTTTGCTCCTTGTATCGATTCGTTTGTTTGCCTCAAGCTTCTGCTGAGAGCTCGTCACAGAATAATCTGATCAATAATTTCTTCCCGATCCCTTACTTCCTACCGTGCCGTGCTGATTTGTGAACCATTCGTGCACATACCCTTGTATTCGGATAGGTCCGGGACTTGAGGAAGCAACAATGAGAATGTCGAAATCATTACACAAAAGGACGTAATATCCTACTCATAAGGTTGCTGAAATTACTTGACAGCCTACGACCTCTTTTTTGCAATTTGGGCTC